CCCCCACCGCCATCTTGGGCCCCGCCCGCCCTCAGTTGCTCTTCCTGCGCCGGGTGCCCTTGGCGCAGCCGCGGCCCAACCACCCCCCGGGCCGGGCGGGCGCTTCCTCCTTCTTCTTCTCCTCTTCCTCCTCCTCCTCCCGCGGCGGCTCGGCCCCCGGCGGCGGGGCCACCGGTTTCCGCGAATGCGTGGTTTCCTCCCCGGGGCGCAGCGGCTCGGCCAGCGAGAAGATGGGGTCCCGCGCCCTGCGGGAGAGAGGGGCGAGTGTGAGGGGGAGCTGACACCGGCCACCGGTCCCCTCGGGACGGGCCACCCACCCCGGGCAGGGCTGGCTCACCGGTCGTAGAGTGGGATCTCCAGCCCCAGCTCCGCCATCAGCAGCCGCATCACGTCGTCGCAGCGGCCGTGCAGCTTCAGGGCGGCCAGGTCATCCTTGGGCGTCCACTGTGGGAGCGACAGCAGAGCCGCGGCTGCAGACACCGGGATGGGGCACGGATCCCTGCCCGCACCCCACAAGCCCCACACGGAGGGGCCTGGACCCCCGCTCCCCTCGGCCCTTCAGACCCAGCGGGAAGGGCTCTCACCTGCAGGTTCACGATATACAGCTTGGGACGACGAGTGGGGGGTTTGCTCATGCACCAGAGACGGGGGTATTTTTTCAAAACCTGCCACAAAAACAGAGAGGATGAGTACGGCCAAAGGCAGGCGTAACTGCGAACAGTATCAGCGAGAGGAAAAGGAATGTATTACCAGGAGGGGAAAGAGGGAGGAAGAGAGACTATCACAGATGGTGGGCGAATCCTGACACCAGAGTTTACAGTTGTCTGTTTGGGAGGAGACTGCTCAGCACCAAGGTGTATCACCAAGAGGGAATGCTGCTAACAATCTTCACCGAGTCTCTAAAGTTACCTTTAAGCTGGAACCCAGACAAAGAATCACATCTGCTTTGCTTGCAGCTTCTGTTGCTGCTTCCCAGTTCAGGGGCTGCCTCAACGTCCCCTTCTCCCCAAAGTGGACGATTGTGTCTCTCAACTGCGCCCCGCACTTGTGGCACATCCTGCCGGTGTGATGCCTGTGCAGGGCCGTGCGCTCCGTCACGTCAAACACTCGCACATACTCTCTGTTGGGTGTACAGGAAGTGCAGACCTGGTGTGGGGTGACAGAAAAAAAAAAAGAAAAAAAAATAGCAGTTACGCCATCAGAAACTACCCCACCAAAGTCCAGGAGCTTCTCCAGAAGAAAAGCGCTTTACGGGGACAATAAACTGGAAGGAGTAGAAGGGACCGACTTGGAAAAGTTTGGAAAACCTCAATTAGCAAGTGGAATTACAGGCTATGTGATAGGAGGGATTTCAGAGGAAGAACGGTCAGAGGCAGAAGGCTCTAGTAAACTACAGAGAAAAAAACCACAGAGTTGAACAGAACACTTTGGGCTCTTGCTAACTAGTTCACCCCAAACCTGATGGCCTGAAGATAGGAACTAAGGAGAGGCTAGCACTTGGACTACTTCACCTTGAGCTGGTGAGAGATAAATATTTCACATGATCTTCTGGCGAGGCTGCTACACAGTACCTTCACCCTGTTCTGGCTGCTCACCTCTATGTACATGTTTCCATGGAGCTCAGATATTGCTGCTCGGGGTAACCCGCTCCGCAGGTGCAGCCCATCACAGTTTTGAGACACCACATGCTGCACCTTGAAGAGAATAAAACCCTGAGCTAACACGAAGGCAAAGGACTGGAAGCATTACTCAAATGCAGGTGATGTGTGTATCTCAGTATACATCCGTACATCAGAGCAGAACCCCAGAGAGCAGACCTTCATGAAAGCTAAATGAAAAGACTCCTCCTGCTAAACAGAGCTTTACTGGGGCTCTGTGGCCCAGATGAGCCACACCAGGAGGCAAATATAAGATGTTAAAGACAAGGCAGCCAGAGCTACTGTCTGAAGCCAGCCTAACGAAACTCAGCCGTACGTGAGCACAGCTGCTTTTCCCTCCATGGATGTGTTGCCTAACGAGTGTTTTTACTCAGGTGGATATCTCAGGAAAAGGTGGGGATTTTTTTTCCCTGTTGGGTTTTATTTATCATCCTTAGACTACAAGTGAGATGTGGAAAAAACACCTTACCAGGTTATGCTTGTGCAGGCAGGCAATGCTCATGTGGGTGAGCGTGGGCTCTGCCTCGCTCAGGTCTGGAGCCCTGACAAGAAGCAAAGGAAAAAAAAAAAAAAAAAGTTGGAACTGCCATTAATCTTTCTCAATATCAGCTTTCTGCTACGCAGCTCGGAATTCCTCTCCTTACCTGATGCTCCTGCCCTTCTGCAGCAACGTCCATATGCCGTTAGGGCCTCTGTAGTCTGGGATTGAAGCTGCCTGTGTTACCGGGAAAGGAAAAACCAGGCCTGACGGGCAGGTTCACACCCCTTATCCACAAACACATCAACCCGCTCTCACGCAGGACAGCCAGATACACCTCATTCATGGCTGCTTTTTCATTTTCTCCAAGTTCTCCAGTGCAATGGGTCCCTAATTGCAGGAAAACCTTCCTTTCGTATGTTCTCTGTCTCTCTCGCACATTTTCTCCTACCTTACAGCTCTGTTTCACCTCCAGTATTTATTTTCTCCAATTTTACCATTATCAAATCCCTCTTTTAACCACTCTTTTTAACCCTTGGTACTTCCAGTTTCCCTACCCAGAACTCAATTCTTGAAGTTTCCTTATTTCCACTAGACTGATTGCCGGCACATCGTATTTTGCATTTTTTAGCAAAAACCCTTGTGATGTTTGCACTTACACACCCTGCCCAGAATCGTGCTCCATATTAGCACAGACTGTAGAAAAGGGAAAGAGAAATAAGGTTCTTGTCTCAGAGTTGAGACAAAGGTGACGGATGTCACATCAGAAGAGGCAGAACCAGATTTCCCAGAGGCCACTGAAACCGAACGTTTATTAAACTGTCATTTCTTAAGTTCTGATAACCGCTCCTGCTTGCCCATTAATGCAGACAATGTTCATTAACTAACTTGTTTTTATATTTTACATCAGAAGTAGTTAAAAAGACTTGAATGGAGCAAGACTGGAGAACTCCTTGTTTCAGGAGCACGTTGTGTACACGCTCACAGAGGCCACGCAGCCTCCCAATCTCTCAGGCAACAGGCACAACCCCCAGATGTGAATTAGGAAACATCCTGGTCGTGGTTGGGAGCGTAGCAGCGTTAACACAGCATCCCACGCTCAGAACACACGTCATGAAGCCATTCAGAAACCACAAAAATAGCCCAAACAATATTACAACACTCCTGAAGGAGCTCCCAAAGCTCCAGCCACTCACCCCCAGAGAATCCTACCGTACTGATCCCGGCTCCGGTATAGATGACAAGGTGCTTGGCGTTCCGGACGGCAGCCGCCAGCTCGGTCACCTTTCTCTTTAACTCCTCTGGTTCATCACAAACCTGGAAAATACAACTGGGCAAGTTCAGGTGTTTCTGCGATACAGCGCATCACTCAATGGGAGGAACGGGAGCCTCCCTAGAAGTTTTAATACGGGCCTTGCCAGGCCAGAAAAAACCACGAACATTATCAGAAGTGGTTTCTAAATAAAAGATCGTGGGTGTTGTCCACGGGAGACCAAGGGGAAGAGCTTCCTGAGGAGCAGCACGTGCAGATCTGCCCTCCCGAGAGACGGGCCCACACACGGAAACCCGCACACGTTTGGAAAACACGCTTTTGGAACCCGGCAGCCGCTGAAAATAAGGCTGAGGCAGAAACAGAGCGAGGGCAGAGACGGGGGGCCGCAGAGACGGGGGGCCGCAGAGACGGGGGGCCGCAGAGACGGGGGGCCGCAGAGACGGGGGGCCGCAGAGACGGGGGGCCGCAGAGACGGGGGGCCGCAGAGACGGGGGGCCGCAGAGACGGGGGGCCGCAGAGACGGGGGGCCGCAGAGACGGGGGGCCGCAGAGACGGGGGGCCGCAGAGACGGGGGGCCGCAGAGACGGGGGGCCGCAGAGACGGGGGGCCGCA